AGACAACGGAGATGACGCCATCAAACACAATTGTAAATAAGAAATTCTTGACACTAACCCTATTGACATTTATATAGCTTATATTGGAAAAAAATGAAATGAGCCCCCCCGGGACCAGAGGTATGGGTATTATGTGTTAAAAATTTTCCTTATTTGAATATGGATAATAAATTTATGTAAATTATGGTCAAAATCCAAATATTCATGTAGCAGTTTGTAGTTAATTTTAATTATATATATCATATAAGAAAAAAACAAATCAAACCTCGGGGCCCCCGGTTGTGACTGTTCCAAGTAGAGTTTCGAAATGAAACCTGTTTAACTTTTGTAAGTTAGCTAACGAATAAGCTTGTTAAATTGTTCCTACATGGGAAGTTGGATAATATAGGATATAAAATAAATAATGAAAGGAACCCATGGCCCCAGAGGTAAGAATACTATGAGTTATGTACACATCTGTATTTGAATATGGATAATCAAATGTATGTGTATTAAGCTTGGTCAAGATCCATCAATTCATGTAGCAGTATATGTTGATCATTTCATTTATATAGCTCATAATGGAAAACAAAAAATGTTTGGCCCCTGGCCCTAAACAGTATAGAGTTTGTAAATGAAACATGCATAAGTTTTGTAAGTAAGCCGTAAGGAATAAATCTGCAAATGTTCAGGCTTCTATCTACAGGGGAAGTTGGAGAATTAGTGATGAGTGAGTGAGGTCTTAGCCTTTTATTAGTATAGATAAGAAAACAATAAATTGGGGCCCCCGGCCCAAGTGGGATGAATATTATGAGTTTAGTACCCTTAAGTATTTGATTATTGATAATCAAAAGTATGTGTACTAAGTTTTATCAAGATCCATCTATTCATGTCGGAGTAGGAAGCATATTGATATTTATAAGGCTTATATTAGGACAAATGAAATGGTCCTCCGGCCCCCGAGAGATGGACATTATGCGGTAAGTACCCTTCGGTATTTGAATATGGATAATCAAGAGTATGTGTATTACGTATGGTCAAGGTCCATCAATTCATGTAGCAGTATATGTTGATCATTTTATTTATATAGCTCATATAGGAAAAACATGACATATTGGGCCCCCGGCCCCAAACGGTATAGAGTTTGGAAATGAAACATGCTTAGCATTTGTTTGTGAGCTGTAAGGAATAAGCCTGCCAAATTTCAGGTTTCTTATCTACTAGGGAAGTTGGAGAATTAGTGAATGAGTGAGTGAATGAGTTATTAGTATAGATTGCCGAAACCGCTAAACTGGATTCATCCTGTACTGAGTAAAGATCTGCGCTAGTAAGGAAGCAGTGCACTTGATATAGAATAAAATGCTTTTTGTGCATATCACTCTACTCGAAAGAGGCCATTCAATAAAAAAATATAAATCCATTTATAACTTAAAAATCAAAACGTCCTTGTTAGATTCAGATATCATATTTAAATTTGTTGTGTAAAATATGTATTAAATATCAATCTTTTTTTACAGTAAGAAAAACGTTCTTATAAATTTAAAAACCAATATATTTGTTTTAATTTTTTTTTCTTACAGGAGAGCAACTCTTTCATTTTGAAATGCATTGGGGAATTTCAAAGGTCCTTAAAGTTAGAAGTATTCTATTATGTTTTGGTATGTATTGTCCGTAATATATTAATTATCCAAATTTACAAGAAGAAAAATGTTCATATATTTCAATCTTTACTATAATTGGCTCACAAAAAATGGTCAAAATTAATATTTTTTAATTGTAAAAATACATTTCATTTGTTACTTTTATAAGGTTTTAAAACTTAAATATTTTTTGTTTTAAGTTTTGTCTAGTTAAAAGGACAATAGTTATAAAGGACTGAAACCCTTGTGATGTATGACACTTTTTCCCCTGGAGTGAACTTTGCTTGAACACTAGCACACAAGCTCCGTTCATAGATGGGCGTGGCCTATTCGTTTGATGTATCTTGTTGACTACCGCCTTCCAATTAAACATGGTTAGACTGTCTCCTAGTATTTTGTAGAATGTTTGGGACTTTTCTAGAAATGTAAAAAATGCTAAGGAGCTTCTGGAAGGCAGGGCTTACGCGTCGGTAGAGCCACCTATATAAGGTATTGACAAATACGGAGAGACGGAGATTCAGATAGATATTATTAACTTTACGATGCGTGTATTATTATTTGTGTATTTTGTGTGCTCATATGTGTTTATTTCGCATTCATTATTAGTAATTAGCACATTGTATTAACTGTGTACCAGTAAAAGATCTACCATACTGTAAGATGAGGATTAGTAATTTATATTTCTTTTGTTTCGTTATTGTATTATTACTAAATTAAATCATATTAATTGTACCTGGAAATTGTTTTGTGTGTCGTAGCCTTATTGTTGTATTTCTATGGTATCTTCCTTTGTTAGACACTGTTTGAACGAGCCATAAAATTAAAAACAAGAGATTAATTTCTCACAAGAGATGCCAGTGCGTATCACCAGCGTATTAAGAAAGCTTTACACAATTGTGGAATTTACAATAATTGATTTATTTACAAAACAATTCTATCATAACAACGAAAGAAAAAATATAGATTAACTTTCAGCATAAAAATGTGTTTACTCAAAAAGTGTGAAAGTTCGATCACTCACACATACAGTAGACATTTAAATTTACCACGAACTGGAAAGTAATAAATAGTAATCGACACAAGAAAAGGAATGGTGAAAATATTTATTCACTAACACGCGAGGGTAAGTAACTCACTCTAAAATGTTAATTTTCTCTCTCAATCACAAATACATGTGTTGTTTTTTGTTTTCGTTTTTTGTTTGTTTGTTGTTTTTTTTTGTTTTTTTGTAATTGGTGACGGAATAGAAGTTCTAGAATTCAGACGTTATCTTTGGGGCACATTTATGAAAAGAAAAAAAAAAGCGTTTTATTTTTGAAAAAAGGGACCATAATGGGTTGATGAATATCATTTCCACTTTCATATTATTTTTTGTTGTCAAGGATTAGCTAAGAAAACATTTGTCGGCTGACATTTCCGTGCATTAAGAGGGGGAAAAATATTCACAGTTTAAGTATAAAGTTTAATTTTAAAATAAATTATTTAGTCTATTTTCATTAACCGTACTTTAATTACTGAAGTCAAGTTTAGAAACCACAAACAAAATTTATTTTAGAACGTATCTAAATTGGTAAGAGTAGGCGGCACCACGGGCAAGCCACTCTGTTCTACAAAAAAAAATTAACGTACCTCATTAACGCACATGGCGCTTGTAAATTTTGCATATCCTGGGTAAATTTTTTCAATCGTAAACAATTAGTCCAAAAAAAATTATATAAATTGTTAGCCCCTCCTCCTATACGCGCAATGACTAGTTTTAGTGGTTGTTACTTTAGAAATTCTTCATTTTGTAAATTTTGCGTTAATTAAAAGAAAAAATGAATTCAAAATTTAATGTAATATATTTCATATAATGTTAAGTTTACTGTCCTTCTTGATATTTTATTTCATCATTTGACTATTGTGAGGTGCTAGCAATGCACTCAACGTGTTAGGAATGACACTAACTATGTTGTGTTTGTGAATTATATTATATAACTCAACGTATTTGTTTTGGTAGATTTACGAATCATTATAATAAGTTAATTTGCTCTCGATGGAATTTTTTTAGCATAAAAAATTCAACTACCCGGATTATTGATAGGTTTTCCTCCTCTATTCGTCTCTAATGGAAAGCCTGAACAAATTGCATTCAGGGGCGTCATTGTCAGGGTTTTTTTAAGGGGCAAACCAAAACTAGAACGGCATTTTGGGTCGTTTTTTTAACTGGAGTGGCCACAGTACAGAGTAATTTAAATAAAAAGATCATCATCTGGTAAAAAAAGGATTCTTTATCTTGTAAACATATGATTTGCCATCTTATAAACAAAGTATCCTCCATCTTTTAAACAAAATATAAGCCATCTTGTCAATGGGAGTCGCTTAGTCAATTATTTTGTCACGTGATATGAGTAAAAACGAGTAAGATTTCCGGTATATTGTATACAACACACTAGTGCTTGACAACAGTAGCCCGATACACACTACAACTACACTACATTTCGTCCAATGAAAATTAACAATAAAATAAACAAAGGGGAATGACTCCTGCATCAATATTGAATAACAACGCAAATGACGTCATGAGCACGCACGGAGCTCAACAACATCCTGCCGATAATAGTATTGATAGTTCCCATCGAATATCGCTCACAAATTTTTCTTGAAATAACTTTCTTCCTTTAATCATAACTGACGTATATTTATTGTCACATTTATGTATTTCATTTAAAAAACGCTTGCATTCCAGAATATTACGAAAGGTAAAATTTTTAATTAACATGACATTGGGGAAGCACTGATGAAGTATCTTTTGTTGTGTGTTGCAGCCTAGTGATGACTTACTCATATCACGTGACCAAACAAGGAAGTGACTAAGCGACTCCCATTAAGAGTTCACCGTCTTGTAAACAAAGGATCCGCCATGTTGTAAAAACATGGTGGTATAAACAAAACAAACCAATGACAAGTTCGCCAAAGACATTATGCATTTCCATGGTTATAGAAGAAAAGCTAACACCTAAAAAGTTTGTAGGTTCTTCATCAATTAAAATAAAAAGTGATGCATTTACAAAAAAGACAAATTCCTTATGTTCTTTGGCAGTGACATATGAAGGAATAGAACTAATAGCATCTTGATACTTTATATCATTTATCTAAAAATAGTTTAACTGTTCCATTAACATAAACATTCTATTACAGGTTTGGTGATTACAAGAATTAACTCTTTGGAACTAAATGATCGCATTGATTACAGTTCTAACGGACAGATTGGTACAAACGCCACTATTGGATGCAATTGGGCTAAGACCGATTCAGAATATTTATTGAACTTAGCAGTAGTCACACTCAGCAATGAGTCATTTGTATCTTATTACCCGGAAGAACAGATTCTGAGTAATGGCCCTAACTTCCATTCACGGCTTGTTGTAACAACTTCAAGCACATCCTTAACAATGGCAATCACAAACATCTCTTGCTCAGATATAGATATTTATATCTGTAGGATGAATTATTTTTTATTCAGTCACCGCACGGAGAAGAACTCAACTGGACGTCTGGTTGACATTAAAAGTAAGATACATTTTTATTTTTGTTTCACTTAAAACGTTTGCTGATAAAAAATTTAAACTTTAAAAAATAAAATAAATGTTTAAAATAAAATTGAATTTAGTAGAACAAGTGACAATTTATCAATATATTTTTATTTGAATAATTTAAAGTTAAAAACCATGTCCTCCCTTCAGTTCCTCCACAAGTTCCAGTGATGACGCAACCACCATCGCTTGTAGTATCAGAAGGATCAACTATCACATACAAATGCCTGGCCAATCTGGGACGGCCAAACAAAGGCCAAATTGTGTGGAATGCTTCTGTCAACGGCCAGAAAGTTGAGCTTCTTTTGGCACCAGTTCTGAAGGAAAAAAGTAGTAAATTTATTAAATACTATTGATTTTAAGTTCTGTGTACACTCCTTTTCATGCATGTTTTATCATAAGCCAACTCGGTTGTTTGAATAGTAGTTGAAATTGGTTAAAATGTCTTTTACTGTCTGTTCACATAAATTAAGTTTTAAGTTTTTTGTTAAGGCTCCAAATGTTGATCCCTTTGGCTAATCTTTAACGTTTACTTTCAAATTATATCATAATTATGACTATAGAATATAATAATGTTTACTTTTTTTTTATGCCAATGGTCGTAACAATAGCAATATAATTCTACAAACATTAACTTTTGCTTTCAAACTATAATCATTTTAATCATCTAGCCGAACATACATTACTAATATATACATTCATTTACGCTTTCAGACAGTAAAATAATATATATTTATGAGAAAAATTGCACATACATGTACTAATCTATTGAAATGTAACGTACTCTCCAGATAACAATAGTTGTACAGTAACTGTTGAAAGCACAGTGACTTTCCAGGCCAACAGGACGAAACAGAACATCACTCTGTCTTGTTTTTCTACCAACCAAGACTTTCAGGAAACAGCCCCTCTATCGTGTGCAAGTCCTGGCACAGACCTGTGTGCTCAATCTCAACCTTTGAACATTCTGAGTAAGATTGCTTGTTGATTTGTGGAAATGAACAATTATTCTGCTGCTTTTTAAAACTGATGTTTAAGTGAACAATTTAAGATTCCTAGAATATTACCTTCCCATGCTTTGCTCCAAAATAAAAGTTTAACCACCCATGTTTTGGACAATGAATTTTTTGAGTCATAATATTGAAAGTTAATTATTTGAATAATCTCAAATTTACCACTTATTCTAGACTTTAAAAAAAAAAATGATTTTATTTTAACTGAACGGAGAAATGTAGCTTGATTTAAATAGAAACAATCAATCTACAGTGGCTAAAAAAAAAGCCAGTGTAATTTATCAAATTCAATCTGGTTCTTTATGTACTTGGAAAATCTAACTTTCCATCTTGATCTTCACATTTTGAGCATGTCTCACCAACATTGATGTTCTATTTAATGGTGATTGACCAGTTCCCAAATCTACAACCACTGCAACAACATGGACGATTTCGCCAACCTTTTCAAGTTCCCAGGCTACTGGCCCACACACAGGAAGTGGTGATGATAATAATACAAGTAAGTGGTTTTACGATGTTTTCCGTTAAAGATACCATACCACTTGAAAATCTTAGCGCCTGATAAGTCTAAATGTCCATGACAAGGATAGTTCTCTAATTATTTTTTTTTGTTCTATTCCCATATAAGCCTTGGAAAGATTTATTGAAATTTAATTTACAAAAAAACAAAAAACAAATCTGAATTTAAAGAAACCTTAAAAATTGAAATGTGTAAACAAAAAATAAAATGAATGAAAACGATATCTTTCATGGCATAAGTTTGTAACAATAATTTGAATCCCATAAGGGTTGTAGACTTTAATTAAATATGCTCTTCATTATGCTTGCTATAAGTTTACATTTATTTACATTTATTGGATTTGATGAAAAAAAACAAAACAAACAATGACTTATGATAAACCCACAAATCAATATTACTTAGTTGTTTGCACTTTGATAGCCAAAGTGTTCAGGTTGTTAGACATATATTTGTAACTTGGCTCTTTAACCTGTTACAGCATATTGGCATTCAATAATATACCTGAAAAAATGTCTCTTTTGATTGGCAGTATTAATATAACTGTTGCAAATTTGGAAATGTTTTGGAAATGTGTACTTAACATGCCTATTTCACTTTTGATAGCAGCTGCCTTCCAACTGTAAAAAATGTTTACACAGTTTATCATTTTAACATTTCCGTATATTTATTTTATTGTTAAATTTAAATACATGAAAAAATACAACTTAAGAAGCGTAAAAAGAATATGTTAAATGCATTCTTACTTTGCTCCTTACAAATAACATGTACACTTTAATAAGTATTCAAAACTATTGATAGTTTCACTTTTTTAAAATATATCCAAAAAAATTACTTAAAAAATAATTCATAATTTTATTCTCTTAAATCAAGAAGATAAATATAAATTAAATATTTACTTACCATTACACATATATATCGTTGAGTAATACAATAAAAAGTATATGTTGTCTTAAATGTGTAAACATTTATATTTAATCTACACATTTTTAGTTATCAAGTATTAACAGCAATTAATTTCAATTGCAAGTAATAATTTACTATTGCCTTTTTCATAATAGATAATATTAAAATCATTGAACGTCTATTCGTTTGTTTTGATAAAAGCCTAATAAGATAAAGCTTTTAAAAAGCAACTGAAATACTGAATATGCATCAATGTATGATACGTGTGCAGGATTTGAGCTAGGATAAATGAATACTGATTATTTTATCTTGCTACATTAAGCTACGGCATTAACGATGCCACTTTAAAACGGGTGTGATACAACTAATGTTTTAAAAGAATTCGTATAATCTTATAATATGATTATGTAAATATTTTTGTATGTATACTTTGATAATTTTGGAATTTAAAACAACTGATTTTTTAAACAGATGCAATAATGATGATAAGACTTTTCATTTCACAAAAGAGGATTACAAACAATAATATATTTTTTCCAATACTCATGTTAAGGTGAGATCAACCCTACTGCAATCGCAGTTGGTGTTCCTCTTGGGCTCGTGTTAACAGCATCCATATGCGTAATTATTGTACTAATAAGACGAAATAAAAGTAAGTATTCTAATTATTTCAAGAGTCTGAATTTTGGTTTCCCTTTTTTCCAAGTGTGTTTGTTTAATGTATTTTATTTAAGCCTTAGACATAACGATATTCTTTAAAACATATACACAATTTTGTCTTTTCAATTGTAAGATGTTTTCAACCCAATTAAAACCTATTTCCGTCAATTGAAATTTTTTTTGAAAAACTATTAAATTCACATATTTTATTTATGAAGCCATTATGTGTTTAAACTTTTAAAAATATATAACTTATTTGTTTGTGTTTTTTTTCTAATTTTATTTAGCCTGCATTCTAACCTATTTAGTTTTGTTTTAAATGTATGTTTTAACTCTGCTTTGTTAAATCTATTATATTTTAAATATTTGAATCATTTAAAATACTAAGACAGAAAATTAGACAGAATAAGAAACATATTTAGTTTATATTGTCACTAACATTTATAAAATTTATTTAGGAACCAATAAAGATGATTCATCAACGAAGTCCAAGACAAAGTAAGCATTGTTATGTATATATAAGAATAAGCTATAGTGACATAACGCCAAAGATTCGAATATATTTTGATACGTTCGGAGTCTTAAAAACAATCATATTTATTGTCTATTATTTTATGGAATATCATGTTTCCGCTTTCATTTAGCAAAAATTAAGTATTAACATTATAAATTACAATGGTATTTATAAAGTAACTACTAAGGAATTATATTAAGCATTTTATCCGAATGTTAAAGCTATGAAAACAATATTAATCAAAATGTTATGATCTAAGACTTGCATATTAATAAAATTTATAAGGAAATACAAACATCTGTTATTTTAGTTCGTATTTAAGTGCGTTCTTAATATTGCGAAATAAAATAAAATTAATGTTATATAAATAACTAGCGAGAACCCGGCATGCGTTGCAATTCCTCTAAAAGAAAGAAAGTGTTTGCATTTTAATTATGTCTCTTCAAGAGCTTTTAAATACATACAGTTTTTCTTTTTTTCCGTCTGGTACGTACACGAATAAATCAGAAGGTTTTCCGACGCGAGAGCAGGCCACATGCATCTGTCCATGGGAGAAGCATGGATTTTCCAAATTTAGTCCGCAAACTTGTAGCAATTGTCATTGTGCTTTGTAGATAGTCATTGCAAACGCGTGTCGCACCGTAAAATGCAGACGTTTGAAAATGGTATCATTGAGATGCGTGACAACAGTGCATCAACTCCTTTAAATTTTCCATTTAAAATAGTAGCTTCAGCTTCAATGGTATTTTTCTTTATGTTTTTCATTGAAACTTGTTACCGTTGTAAAGTCGTGGCTGATTTTTGTTTCATTAAAGAATGATAGGCACGCCAATTTTCAATGTTAAAACGTGCGATGGAATGCCTGGCAAGTGAAGTAATTGGATAATTGACAACTTCGTCTTAATTCAATACAGTATCGATGGACTTAACGTTGTCGTTTCGCCTGGGATTTCATTTTGAATGCTTAAGTTGATTGCATTGTAATCGTTGTTTTTGGCTGAAAATATAGCACGTGCACTGAGCCACTGATGATTTTTGTAATACTGTGCGATATTTCGAAAAACTGTATGTGTGAATTTATTGGTGGTAGCTGTAGTTTTACAGAAGCTTGTTGGCAGTGAAAAACATTGAGTGGATTCATCAATTGCCATTTTCCATTTCCCAATGTCCAACAATTGTTTTGCGAAACGTTCATCGGATGCATCATCATGTAATTCTACACGCATATTGGTCTTCAAAGTCAATTTCTGTAAATGTCGCAATAAAACTGATGATTTGAGACATACATTTAATTCATCAGCAGCTGTTGAGGCCACCATCCAAAAGAGTTGCTGCAATTCCAGATGATGCAATAGCCAGTGAAATATTTTTTTTGTGATCGTATTATTGCCAAAATGAATGAAATTAGGAAAGATTTTCCTGTGCCTCCGGGCACAGCTAGGAAATATAGTCCACCGATTTGATTGGTAATTGCATGCATAATTCTGTAATACAATATGAGTTGTTCTGGAACCAATGTCAGAAGATTCATCCAAACAAATATACCTAATTCTTGGATATCAAAATGCGTTTCTCGTTTCAAATCACGATTGAAAAGATTGTTTTCAGATCGATTCGGACAAGTCATTCCCAACATTACCATTGCTTTGTTAGAGATTGCCAAGCATTTGTCCCCAATCGAAACCAATGCCTCATTATACTTTTGGTGTAAATTTAATGTCCCGATTTTGATTCGTTGCACGCAAACGATGTAGGATATCTTCATTTCGGTAGTCTTTGTATTTCTCCCAAAGATCTTTTGTATTGGATGGGAAGCAAGTTGTCTCTATGATTGCAAACAAAGTGCATATTTGCTGTGTTTGAGCAATATTCGATGCATCAGAGAGCAAAGTGTCCCAATGAGCATCGTTTTCCAAAAGTTTTCATTCTTGGCAAGCTTCACGATAAGTGGCACATACTTGACCGTTTACTGTTCTCAGTTCTTGGAAGGATGTTGGTCCGTGTACGTTGATTAACAGTAATCGCAAGTAAAAGCATTCTGCATTGTTTGGGTGAACAGTGGACAGACGGCCTAATGCTTGGGCCGAATATAAATTGGGCTGTCCTTCAAATGCTTTACCCTGTTTGCGACGTTGAAAACTTTTCGCTGATGCATTCCATGTGTAATATGTTGGCACTTCAGAGTAAAGTAGCGTCTTTGCAAAAATATAATTCCGACACAATGAGAAAAAAGCAGCTAACGTTGTTGCCGAAGGTGACACTGGTCTTACACGTGCATCTTCTGTTGTAAAGTACACTCGCTGTCCATTTTCAAGGTGCACTGCCAAATGAACAACTGTTGGATGGCGTTCATGGATTGGAAATGTTAAAATGCGCCATATTCTTCATTGCTATTCATGTAGCGTCCAAGTTGATATTGGTAGACTTTATCAATTGAACCAGATTTGTTTCCACTGCAAGAACTGCCACATTGCTTCCTGTGTTAACATATTTGCAAATGTACTTGATCGATTTCACCGAATTGCAATCCTCTACATTGATGTGTGCTTCGAACGTTTACGAGAGTAACAGTGAATACGGTACAACCGAACGATTATTGACTTCAACATAATTGTTTCGTACTTTTAAAGTGATTGATTTGCCACCATTTTCAGTTTGTCATTGACGATACAGTTGATAGCCATCATTGTTAGTGATAGTCTCCGCAATTAAATCTCTTGAGTATCGTTTTGTGCATTTCCTATCAGACATGCATGGTTAATTTTTGTTGAGTAATCCACATGGACCGTGAATCATGTTTTTGGTGACGATTTCTAATAAGTATTGATCAATGTTGGCATCTGGTATTTCTGCAGAAATGACTTGATCAATTTGATCTCGAT